AGCCTACAGTTTTAGTCTTATCTACTGACCCTTCAGAGGAAAACACCTACAAAATCAGAGAAAACATATTCTGAGCTCATTTGGTTCAAAATATTTAGCAATTAATATTTCTTTGCAAGTGAAAGGTATAATCTGAAAAAAAAGAATACAAAGCCATGTGATCCTCCTGCACACGAGGCTTGCAGTCTGTGGGTAACCCATTTCCCCAAGTACTATATTAATAATTATTTTATGCAGCTGAACAAGCAATTAGAGATTTCAAGAACCCAAGAAAATAAAAAACTTGATCATAAGGTCATTTGATAATAAAGTACAACCGATCAAGTCACAGAATCACACACCCCCCCAGCCTAGGCTAAGGAGGATCCTAGTCAAACCTCTTCCAAATGAAGAAAAGAAGCCAGAAAGTCCATGCAAATTTAGCCCCTAAATTGCATATATTTAGCTGGAAGGGCAACCATACTAAAATGGCAGACGCAGACACGGGGCCGTTATGACTATTACACTTAGAACATTTGATAAGAACAGCGATAATCCCACGTATTTGGGAAGGGATCTATCAGTGAAATTTCTGGCTTCCCTAACTAGTTTATCAAGCAACTTAGTTAGGATAAAGGCTTACTTAGGCATCCTCAAACTACGGGCCGTGGGCCCCATGCAGCCCGCCTAGGACATTTATCTGGCCTGCCTCGGGTGTTTTTCCGCTGCTGCCTGTCCTGCTTAGCAGCCGACTTGCCCCGGGGCCCACAGTCCGGCCCTCCAATGGTCTGAGGGACAGTGAACTGGCCCCCTGTTTAAAAAGTTTGAGGACCCTTGGCTTACTAAATGGAAAAAATGCTATTTCCAAATACAGCATTCTGGCATTTTCAAATGCAGTGCTTTTTAACTAACAAAACAAAACTGTGAGGTTTCATGAAATAGCTAGTAATAGAGGTATCTGAAACAGTCCAAATGAATTTATGAAGCTCAAGGAATACAAACAGTACTGGAAAACAAAAGCAGGTAAGGTGTTTCCAGAAATAAACTCTTAACATTTTTTAAAAATTTAATTCTATTATTTTGAGTGCCATGACATCCTAGCTTGTGGCAACCTC